GTTTATGTTTGAGATGGCATTGTCGGGCATAACAATTTTTTTTCTCGTTTGTATCTATGCCATTTATTGTGTTTTTTTTCGTGAATGCACCCTGTACCTGGTTACAATGGGTTCAAGGGTAGATGGATGTCAAGGGTTAATTTATGGAGGAAAACTAATTAACTTTGACTTTGTTTTGATTTTCTTTTTTTTAACTTTGAGAGGTTTTTATTCAGTCGAAATATTGATTTTGTAGACTTGTAGACCTTACAATTTTTTATCAATCATGGCTTTTGCAAATATGTCATTCTGTACCATAAATATTGGTATATATTTTTTATTCCGAGGGTATTTTTTTGCCTCTCACCTGTCACTATGGCCCACCTCACCTTCCTTGTTTGTTTGAGTATTTTGTAATTTTTGTCTCGCTTTTGTTCTTCTCTGAATTGTGTACCTTATTTTTTCTGCTTATTTTTTTCTGTTTTTTGTGTCATCGGTTGTGTGTTGGCTGCTCGGCCCAAAAGCAAACACTTTTCTTGGGTGCATGCGGATTTACATGTCCCCTTCCCATAACCCCACCTCCGCCCTGCCACGCTCCCCCCCGGCTCATGCCATTTGCCCCACAATTCGAGGCCCGTCTAGGCAAATGCCCCCATGGCTTATATTTACCTCTCGGCTTAAGCCAAGGCGAGACGTTTGTCTCTTGGCCGCCCGTTCAGAATCTGTTTTTGGCTTTGGTTATACACTGAGAGGGTTTTTTTTTGGAAGAAATAAGAGGAAGTTGTCTAAAATTATTTATGAAGTTTAAAAAAATTTTATAAAAGAATTATAGTAATTTTAAGGTATAGTTTCTTTAAGTATTCTAATACCTTATCTCAAAACTTGGTTTCAAAACTTCTTTTGTAAATCCTGTCTTTAATTAATGAAATTTAATAATATTTTTTATAAACTCTGTAACGAAATACCTAGAATTCGAAGTAGTATTTATTTATTAATACCTCCACATATCCTCCATAATATTTAATTCATAATACCATTAAGTTTAGGAACTTATTGTAGATTAACAGTATTAAGACTAAATAATATTATTTAGCAATTTTTCATGAATCATCTCTTAATCCTTTATTTTTCTTTCTGCGTTTAAAATACAATCCTTTAATATAAATATGGTTTTAAAACCAAATGAAAATATCCGCCGCTTTTGAATATTTATGCCATTGTGTAAGCCATAATTTTATTTTTCTGCAGAGTATAATAAGATTAAAAAATTTGTCGACTTTTATGGGAAAATAAAATTTCATCATTTTTTGTACAAACAAAAACAGACTGTGCTGTGCTGTGTGTTCTGGCATTTCCGTAGAAAATAAAATGTATAAACCAAATGCAATGAAAATGTGGAGTTGAATTAATTGTGTAATTTTTTTCTATATGTATGTTGGATATACATATTTTTTGTTGTGTGCTGGGATTGAGCTCCTTTTGTTGTTGTTGTCGGTGGTGGCAGAGCTGTGCTTTTCGGTCGGTTCCGTATTTCGCCTGTTGACGCAAATTGCCAAAATTGCCTGCGGTTGTGTTTACATGGTGAATGTAACAGACAACAGACAAGTGACAGCCGCACGCACCGAATTCAAATAAAAGCCAATGCCAATGACGGTGTCTACAAGTGGGCGTTGGGCTGGTGTTGGGTGGTGTGTGTGTCCTTTTGCATGGAAAATGCAGGACGAGTCAGCAATCGTGCGGTACATTATTTAATTTTGACATGTGCTTGGGGTTTTGTCATCTGTATGTATTAATGTATGTACAACTTACCACACACTCTCCTTCAAATGCCAATTGGCAATTCAAATTTGGGCTAATGTGCTTTTGATATATGGATTTGGGTCTTTCCTTACAATCTCACACAAATACCCCACAATATATGTATATTGTATATGCATACAGAATATGTACATATTTGGCTATGAATTCATGGCCAGACAGCTTAGACTCATTTGCGGTTATCAATGGCGAGGCGTCTTTGATGGTTTTATTGGCTTTCGTTTGCCTTTTTCGATAAATCATTAGCATTTATGGCATGTGACAAGTGTCAGTCCTCTACCTCTCTGGGAAGAGCCTCTTCTTCACTCCCATCCTTTCTAGTTTGGATGGATTTGTTCCAAATTGATGGCATTTCCATTAAACATGGCTGCATATCAAGTGTTTTCCGTTTCCCCCTTCGTCTGGACATGACATTTGTTCATGTGCCGGACATTTTGGTTTTATTTTTGGAATTATCCTTCTGTCTTTAGCATCCTTTTGCCATTTTAAATGTTTTATGAAGGGAGGGAGTTTAAGGTTCTTCCTTTTTATTATAAATCAAAGCTTTTAAAAGTATCAGCCTCTATACAAAACATTAAATTTAGGGCATTCATAGGTATGCATAAATGAGTGTTATGAATATAAACCCCTTCCATAATATCTAGTATTTTTATATAATAGTCTAGAAAGTATATATCCCTTATAAAAAATAGAAACTTGTCTATTCTTAAAAGAATCTACACAATTTTTCACTTAGTCGAAGAGCAATTAAAGTCCTTTTTAAAGTTTTATTGTCCACCCGATAGGGCTTGTTACTGTTGATAGTTTTCCATTGCCCTTTGACCGTTGAAAGTATTTTCCCCATTTCCTTTCCACTTTCTCCCCTATTCTCCCTTTGTTGTCTGCACTTTCCAATCTCCTTTCGGTTCAGTTTTGTTTCGTGTTTTGTGTATTTTTTGTGCAATGTTTGCAGTGGCTATTCACTTCTCGAGACATGGATTTGATTGCTCGGATGCCTTTCAATGCCCCCTGTCCATGGGCCTCAGCTCAAAAATCCATCTCCTTCCAGGGATCCCCCGGGATCCTCAGCTGCCTCGCCAGTCTCGATGATGGCCGTGTTGAATGGTGAATGCTGGTGGTACTGGCTGAGATATATATTTCAACAGTATACTTTTTTTTCCATCCACTTTATACTTCCTATATTTCTTCGCTTTTTTTCCAGTTTGTGTGTCTGGCTGAAAAGCAAATCTGTGTAGTGGGCGCTTGTCCTTCCGCTTATCGAAGGCTCCCACCATGGGCGTGACTAGGGGGATTCATTTATTAAACACACACTCCAAAAATGTTTAGTATAAATTTATTTCTTTCAGATTTGATGGTTCTTTGCTACAGAATGCCCTCTTCTACAGAGGATAGTAATTAATTGTCTTCCTCGTCCTTGTCCACTAAGAACAAAGTTTTGGGATATCCATCCACTACTTCCATGAGATCTGTGGATGGTTTTTGCTGTTGTTCCTGGTGCGGTGCCTCAATAAATCTACCATCGCATATCTTTGGGGCTTGCCTTCGTGTTTTTACAGCATCAACAACAAAATAACTCAAAGTGTCATCCAAACTCTTGAAGTCTATTGTGTTGAGCCTTTGTTATATATTTTTTTCCGCTCCTGCCCTCCTCGCAAGCTTTTGTATCCTTGTATGCCTTGCTGCTTATCCTTACAAAACGTTTGACGGTTGCAATCGTTTCGGGGGGAGTTACACGTGTTTCCAGGGTCCTGGTTCGGATTCAAGTGGGGTTGTCATTATTTGGCTCTGCTTTCAGCTGAATCAAAACTATTGGCATTGGGCCCCACAAAATCCCCACTATATTCCTCCATTCGAGTGGCATTTTTATTAGGTGTATGGCTCTGTAAATCACTATGCCACCCACTCGACTCTATACCCCAAATAAAAATGCCAAAAAACACTGGGAAAATATTTTAAGATATTATATACAAAATATTTTATAATAATAATAATCATAATCTTCAATTTGATAGAAATAGTTCGAGTTAATCTCTTTAACTATTCATGAAATTTGTACTTAATGTTTAAAGTCTTCTTTTTATTTTAAAGTGTAATTTTTCTGGCATACCCTATTCTTGATATTTTAGCATTTGATAAAAATCTAAACAAAGTGTATGACATTGTTGGGCTCTCCATTTTTCCAAATTCTCGACGTGGGTCGCCCACGCACAAAGGCCGGGCCGATGAGGTTCAACGAGACGAGTGCCACCGAGAGAACCAATTCCCATGCATATTCCCGGGACTCCCTCCCATCATCAGCACCTTTATGTATTTTATGTTACCCACTTCACAGTTGCGCTGGAACTTATTACATATTATAAATCATATCATGGCATGACATTATGCTTAGCATACAATTTGCCAAGGAGGCGACCTTTTCTCACTTCTTTGGGTTCAGAAGGTCGAATTTAAAATGTTTGAATTTTGGTATACAAAGTGAGTGAGTCTATGGGTCTTATGCCAAGTGTTTGTTATGTACCTTAAAGATTTGAGAGCTCATACTTACAAGTTAAATCCTTTTTATTATTTTACGAAAGCAATAGTCAAGGTCCTTTAAAGTTTGACCCCATAAATATATCGAATAAATGTCACCCGTCGCAGACTGCCATAAATTCGGACAAGAAAAACAATCAATTTAATTGGTTTTGTCGCTTTGCATACCAATTTTGGTTTATTTTAAAACATAAATTTAAATAAAGGTTTTCATGTAGTATACATTTATGTGGCAACGTTATGACATTAGCTAGAGTTCTAGAACCTAGAACCTCCATTTCATGATCCATCCGGGACGTTCGGGGTCTTGTGTTGCAAATACTGTTTTTTCTCTTCTTTCAAAACAGCAGCGTGCCTTGGTTGACAAATTACATAAGCTAATTAGCATATATATCACATACTTCCTAAATTAACAACTACAACTAACAGCTAAACGACAGTTGGCGACCAAGTTTGTGTCTCTTTCGCATTTACTCGCTTTTTAAATATGATTTGGTATTATAGTTCTCTTACAAACGATGTTTAAGTTTAAAAAAAAGTTTGATATTCCCTTGAAGGAGAAGTATATACATATACGTAGATTTGCTCTTGTTTGTTTAATAGTAACTCTTGATTGTTTGCTAAATATTTTTTGTTTTTTTTTTTCGTAATTTCATAAGAATACTTTGAATTTGTTGCTGCGGAAGTTCGTGGCTTATCATGTCATTTCTTTTCGTAATGGGGGATCGTTCTTTTTGTTTTGCAAGGGAAAAGTGAAAAATTAAAATGAGATCAATACCAAAAAAACAAAGAAAGGCAAGGATAACGAGGGCCCTTGAAGAATAGTATTCCTTTCGAAGCATTAAGAAAGGGACTTTTGGGAATTTTCATTTAGAAATTTTGGCCTCACTAGAAAAGCACATAACAAAAAGAGGTTTCAAAAAGAAGGATTACTTAGTCTAAATAACATGATTGTATAGTACGCTAGAGACATTTTCTATGTAGTACTGCGTTTTGGAAATCTTATCCAGAGTTGTGGTGGTGGTACTACCTTCCAAGTGGTATCTCTCCGCTTAGATGCTGTGATCCATGGAGACTGGATCGTAGGAACGTTTTTTGGCACGCTGCGTGTAAATGTAGAAGCCCATGCCCAGGGAGGCGATCGTGATTAGAACCGAGTAGGCTATTAGCCCGTAGGTGAGGCAGTTGGACTGATGGCGGACCTCGACCACGTTGGGGGCATCGAAGGCACAGTGGCAGATGGTGGCGACTGGAGCCACGGGAACTGGTGGCTGTACAGCTGTAGTGCTGGGACTAGCAGTGCTGGTAGTGGTGGATGTACTAGTACTAGTGGAAGTGGTGGTGCTGGCTACCAAGTCGCCACTGTGCTGAGTGGTTTCGGGATCAGGCAACAAGGGCGGCAGAGCATCTCCCTCGACTTCCTCCGATTCGGGATCCTTGTAGTCCTCAATCGTACTGCCATCGGTGACGCTCTCGTTTGGCAGGGGCTCATCTTCGGGCCAGCACACCGGACAACAGGTGCCGTTTAACTTCACCTGCCGCTCCAGGGGGCAGTTGTAGGTGCCACAAAGGGTGATGCTGCACTTGGGCTCGCCACGCACACACTCGCACATCTCGCAGTTGTCCACCCAGGCCTCGCCGTTCTCGAAGAACTTGTTCAGGCTCTTCGACTCGCAGAAGGAATGCGGGGCGCCCTCCTCGGCGATGGACTCCTCGTCGCAGACCTGGTGGCAAATCTTCGTGCCGGACACACACTGGCATTTCTGGCATCGTTCCAGCCAGAAATATTTCATTTCGGTTTCCGCCGTGCAACTCGGCGCCGGGCGACACTCGTGCTTGCCGCAACATTGGCCCGGGGTGTGTGGATCCTCCGGCACCAGCTCCACCACCACCTCGTCCTTGTCCGGATTGCAGTCCGGTATGTAGCAGGTCTTGCACACACACTTGTGGGCCAAACAGCACCGCTCGAGGTCCGCCTGGGAGATCTCCGTGTTATTGTTGTAAAACACCTGCAGCTGCTGGTGGTCGACTTCCGGCGGCAAGTCCACCGCATTCGACTTAATCAGGTCCAGATTCTCGCGTATCGAACTGTCCGCCGGGCATTGAATCTCCGATTCCGGCGGGCACTTAATCGAGTCACACGGATTCGGACTCGGATTGGGCTTCTGGTCAACTGTAACGAAAATATGCCAAGGGAAATGTATAAAGAACCCGTTAGTGGTTGTCAATAAAACATGAAGGTCTTAGTACCAGCTTAGGTGTACTTAAGTGCTACCAGACAATAGTATTATTGGGGTGGGGTGGTAAGACCCCCTTAGTTATGGCCACGAAGAGTCTAGGTGCAGTCTTTATGAAAAGGTAATAGTACGAAGCTTGTTAAACTAAATTGAAGTTGTAAACCTTGGGCAAGGTAAGTGAAGTCCGGTACGAAGTGGAGTAATATTTTCTTTTTTTAAATGGATTGTATTCGATTTTTAAAGGGTATTTATGGTTGGTTGGAAATTCTTTTCAGCTGGAAACTTGGTTGGAAATTTTTTAAAAAAGGATAAGGGCAACCTTTGCTTAAAAATAATTAGTATCTAGTAAGTAATAAATATTAACTAGTAAAACTATTAGCTCGCTACAAGACACAAATAAGGTTGCTTAGAGTTTCTCCGGGTACGGTAGGATAACGCAAGTTTCTTAAAGATATGTATACCTGGTACCTTTGAATTTAATATGTATCTCATAATTCTAGTAACTAGTATTTAGTAACATTAATAAGTATTAACTCGAGTGGAACTTATACAAGGTATTAAGAGAGTCTTCTTAGTAACTCAAGTAACTAGCAACTAGTAACTAGAAACTGTAGTAACTAGTACATCAAGTAACCTCCAAAAACTATAGTAACTGGTAACTAATTATAAGCCACAGACTTAGTAGCAAATATTTCCATTTCAGGATCTTTAAAAGTAGATTAAAGTTACCCCAAACCACACCCCATAACATTTTTGCAACTTTTCCCATATCTCTGCTTTAATTATTCCGCTTTTCATTTGCTGGGGTCACCACCAAAGTGTATAACTGAATGCATTAAGGTCAACTTATCTGATCGAATGTCCGGCGCCTATCTGGGTAAGTGATTCATTAACGTGCCACAGTACCGGTCCGCCCGAAAAAGTTAAACCAATTAAAGTTTTTCCCCACTTTCGGTGAGTGCGACTGCCATTGATTGTTGGCTGTGTGTTTGCTTTCCATTAATTTTATATTCCATATACAACCAGAGACTAAACTCCGGGCACTTGCCACCTTTCCACATTTCTCCACCGACAACTGCCGACCTTCGTCGTGTTCGCTTTTCTTTTTCCACGCTTTCCATGGAGTTTTCTGCTCCTTTCAGCTCCGGTTGGATGTTCGCTACGTGCACCGGTCATTGTTCAAGTTAATTTGTCATTTTCACTCGCCCATATAATGGGAAATTTCTCATTCTTCGCCTGCTCATCGACTTTTTCCTTTTTTTTCCCCGACAACCGACAACCCAAAGCTCTAGCCCCGGGTAAACAATCAAGTTCTGCCGAAGACGGGACAAAAGTAAATATCTGGCAGGAAAAATCTACTCGATTTTAAGCATAAGACTCTCCCCGCAGCCTGTCGAATATTAAAAACTAAACTTTTTTTGGAAAGGTTTTTTGTTTTTTGGGTTTCATGGACTGTCTGCCAGCCTGCACTTTGATGTTAGACTCTAAGAGGGAACCGAAAAAATGGTTTGTGCGACGGAGATTCTTGACGGCCCGGGTGGGCGACCGACTGCTTTGAAGGAGCTCAACAAACTTCTTACACTTTATTTAATTAAAGTTTTACTTGTTTGTTGTTTTTCGCATTTATTCGCTGACGCTGAAGCTGCCGCTGTCGTGTTATCAGCGGGACAGCTGGGACAGTTGTCAGGCCGGCCGCCCTCGTATCCGCCGCCGTATTGAGTGCGCAGTTTGACTTTGAAGTTTGGCGACGGGAGGTTAGATTTAAGCGAGGCATGTCCAAAAAATAAAAACAATTTAAATGCTGCTCAACTTGATTTCGGCGTAAAAATATGTAAGCACCATGGAACGTGTCGAAGATTCTATGCTCTCACAGTGGAGATTTCATATTTCGGACATTTTTGCTCAAATTGGCAAACTTTTTTGATTAATCTTGGATTTTTTTAATGGTTCTGGTAATAAAAAAGGACTCGTAAAAATTAAAAATAAATACTGATAAGATATGTTGGCCTTAGATTAAAGAAAAGACTGCCAGCAACAAGCTCTTAGTATTAATACCCGGTACTGAAGGCCATTTCAAGGCTAGAAATGTTTATAATAAATTGAATTACATTTATAAGCCAAGCCCCCTGAGAGAGTAATACCTCTTGAGATTCTATAGAGTAAAATCTAAATAAAAAAAATGTGAATGAATTAGCCGTCAGACGAGGACATTGCATTGCATTTTGTGGCATGTCTGGGGAGGGAGGGAAACTGGCAGAGCAACAGCCCGAGTAGCCGGCCACCTAACCCAGATAAAAACCAAACCGCACACTTGGCTGCCTATTCAGATAAAGCCGGAGCCCGGCTCAGCATCCAGCGAACCAGGGGCTACTAGAACCAGGGCCAGAACCAGATACTCCAGATACTGAAACTACAGGAAGAGGACAAAGGCGCACACAAACTTGCAGATACATGGTTGTCTTTTTTTGTGCCTTTTTCCCACCGACTTTGGATGGTGGGGCTACTTTGGTTCTTCGGTGAGAAACTTATAAACAGCCGTGGAAAGTTTTCATAAAGGATGAAAGTACGAGGGAAGACACACATACCCACATACAGATACTCGAGTGTTTTGCATTTTATGTAGCATGAATGAAAGAAAAAAATAAAAAAAGACACCAGAGTGGGGAAAAACTCTTTAAAAGCGAAAACTTTTTTAATAATCCAGCGACAGGGACAGCGACAACAAACACAACACTTTTGTCCTGACTTTGCGGCCTGCAGCCACCGCAGATACTCAGATACGCACAAACACAGGCTCAGATACAGATACAGATGGAAATACGGATGCGTATGCGGAAACTCTTCAGTCGAGTGGGGCAACTGTGTCAGGAATTTAAATTGTTAGTTTATCTTCGTAAGGCACTGATTGGAAATCCAGTTAAGCCCCCAAACACACACTCGCCTTTCAATTCAGGTGGCAAGTGGGCCGAGGGGCAGAGATACATGAAGCCACCTGAAGCCACTTGCAAATTGACTGATTTCGAGCATTATCCTGAAAAGTAACCCACAGACCATAAGCTCTCCGATTTTGACTAATTTTCATGCGAGTATCTGGGAAAATGTGATTTGGCTTTGTCTTGCCCGACAGTCGATTGGCCAATCAGAGCCGGCTTTCCATCAATCCATCTAGCCTCTTATCCCTCTTATAGTCAGAAATATAGCCATATAGCCTGGATATGCATCCATCGGGGCATCCAGTGGTGGCAAACCCTTCATCCTTTTGTTGTGGCACTTTTGGGCTGCTCTGCCTCGGCTCACTGAATACGGCTATCTGGCCAGATTATCTGGCTGAGTGAACGCCTTGGCTAAACGAAATTCAATCAGGCTAATAGCTGGCATAACCACACTCGGCAAAATATGTTACACAAGCTCTACAAATTGATTTCTGTTCTGAAATGGTATTTGCATGTCGGCAGCACAAATGGAAGCATTCCAACAAAGTGCAGTTTTTGGGGGAAATTGTTTGGCAGGGTTTGGTGAAATATTTTGAAAGATATTTTGAAATAGTTTCAGAGGGAATTAGAGGGAAGAGAATCTATTGAAATATACATATAATTCTTGAGACTTTTGAATAGTTTTCTTTCGAAAAACATAGTCCTCTGAATCTCTGATCATCTATATTTAAAAAATAATATTTATTAGCACCTTTTAAAGTCTTTAAGTCTAAATTAAAGCCAAAACCCCTTCAAGCCCTCTAAAACCTTCAAGCAGAAATGCAAAAGAAATCCCTGACTAGCTCAAGGGCCAATTGAAATCAATTTTTCAGAGTGCATTGCCTTGGAGCGGTGCCTTCGGCTGTGATTGGATTACGGAGCTAGACGGCATATGCCCAGGGGCAGTTACGTTGCCAGCTCCGATCCATTCGTAACACATCCACATGGCAGTGACGCGGGTCCTGTCGCTAGTGGCCATGTCGGCCTTGTACCTTCTGCACGGTCTGACCAGAGTACTGGGCCTGTTGGCAGTCCAGTGCCCGTCTTCGCGCATTGCCATCCGACGAGTGAGGATGAGTGGCTACTGGCGCATCCACGGCTGGCTGATGATGATCTTTTTGGGCGTATATTCCCCCTTTGCCTTCTGGAGCATCTACAACCACATGCCCTTTCTCCGCCACCACAAGATGCTCCTCCTGGTTAGTTTGAATCGATTCGGGGCGCTCCTCCTCTGGGCCACCCTGTGCTTGTGGATAAGCTGCTCGAAGCAGGCGGAGATCATAGAGTGTCTAAATGGATTGCTCAAGTGCCAGAGGCTGTTGCACAGACTGATGTACACCCAGGAGCTGAAGGACTCCCTCAACTGCCTGGCCAACAGGAATAACGTGACAAAGTTGGTACTCTTCATAGTCTTCATCGTCATGGCCGCGGCCCAGCCCATGCAGATCCTGATAGATGATCCGGAAGTGCGCACCAATTTCGTGTACGCCTTCAGTTTGGTTTTCGTGTACTCCTGCCAGCTAATCCTGCAGCTATCGCTGGCCATATTCACATTAATTCTGCTTTTTGTGGCCCATCTGGTGCGGCACTCCAACCTGCTGCTGGCCAGAACCCTGGCGGATGTGGGGGGCGTTCTGGAGAGCTCCCGGCGAGCCCGGCTGGGCCCGGATCGCCAGCGGCTCTATGGCTCCCAGCAGCAGTGGCTGGCCTTCGAACTACTGAGGGTCCTGCACTTGCACCAGAAGCTATTGAAGCTCCATCAATGCATTTGCCGGCTTCACGGCGTGCAGGCCGTGTGTTTTGTGGTTTACGTGCCCATCGAGTGCATGGTGCACTTGTTTTTCTCCTATTTCATGAGGTACAGCAAGTTCATACTGCGAAAGTACGGAAAATCGCTGCCATTCAACTACTACGGCATATGCTTCCTGATAGGACTCTTTAGCTGCCTCCTGCTGGTGATCCTGGGCACCCGCCACTCGGAAAGGCAGTTTTCCAGGACCAGGGAGACCTTCAGATCCGCCGTGTGCTGTTTTCCCTCGGAGTGTACCGACAAGAAGCTGATATATACAGTGAGTGTTGAATATTTGCATATATTTATGCTCTGCCTTTTAGGGAATTTATTACCAAACCTTATATAGATTGGAATTACTTTATATTCCACTCGGTCCGGTCGTAAATCGCACTTCATAAAGAATAAATATCTTCTACTGTCGGGCATTTCAATAACTTTTAATGACTAATAAGCATAATTTCATTACGTAATTAAGAAAACATAATTTCTTTAAAAAAGTATGATATTGTAAACCTGTGTATAGTGTTCTCCAATTAACTGCCTTTGACCCTCAATTAAAAAAATGCATTTCCTTGTTTTTTTCTGCAATATCGTAAGCCTGATAAGACCCGACCATATTGATTAAATTGTCATTCCTTTTATATCAGAATTTCATTCTTATTTGCTCGAATGTCAGTCAGTTTTCATTTTAATTAACTTTTCATTTCCGCAGCTGCATTATTACGGGCTGTTCCTGAAGAATGCCCGCCACATATTCACCGTCAGCGCCTGTGGGCTCTTCAGGCTGGACAACGTCTTGCTCTTCTGCATCGTGGGGGCCGTGCTGAACTACCTGATGATCCTCATACAGTTTGATAAGCTCATAAACAAATAGCTGACAAAACGCCGCCCCAGACAATGGCCATAAATAAACAAACATACTTATAAATTAAATTGCTCCCCAGATAGGTCTTGAGCAAATATGTTATTGATGCACGACGTATTATGGAGGCCGCCAGCAGAATCCCAATGGAGAAATGGGTGCTGTCTACTGGGTGGTGGGTGGTTGGGTTGGGTTTACTTACGTGTCGTTGCACTGGATACAAATATTAGTCCATATATCATTAGCATCTGGTGCATGCACCTCCTTGGCTTGTGCAAGCTCGGCATGTTCCTGACTCTCCCTCGCTGTTTGCTTTCTTCCGAAAAACGGGGTGTTCGGTGGGTGGTTGGGTTGCTATACAGCTGATGACAATCGATATGACCTTGTCGCCGCCTGGTCCGCCAGTTATATTGTATTGTCTCTACTGGCTGGCTGGCTGACTGGCTGACTGCGAATTTTTTCGCCCAGATATCAAATCATATAAATGTCTCGTTATAATTTGCGAAAATCAAAATCAATTGGCATCTTCTCGGCGGGATCAACTGAAACGAACGAAAGAATTTATTTGTTATTCCGCACATCTGATGAAATGGGAATGCGAATTCTAATTTGATTGCATTCCCACTTCAAACTGAATCAAAAAAATTTAAGACCAAGTAAAAAGTTTGAGTAATGACGAAGTTTGGATACCCTTGCTTGCGAGAGTCGGGGTCACCACGACTGTGACGAAACTGTCTTTCTATCATGTCTTTTATATGTTTTTCTATTCAAGCTTTTTAGATTAAGCTTAGAATTATTCAGATCCTTAAAAACCTAAAAGCAAGAGCTCTCTGGAACTTTAGGATTATAATTATGACTATAAGAAGACGATAATAATACTATGTGCCTAAACAATTAATTTATAAATATTATAGCTTCCAGATTATGTAGAATATTATTAAAAAGAAACGCTCTATAACCGTATAAAAATACCCTCACAAAGGGTATAATCAGAGCAAAAAGGCAGTAAACACTCGAAGCGTTAATAAGACTATACGAAAAGGTGCCTACACACAACAAAATTCGGCGCTCTGCTCCGTTCGCTCGGGTTTGGTTTGCTTTGGTTTGCCGGTGGCTCGTCACTGCTAAAAATAGCAACCTTTTTTCGGCTCTGCGAGTAGTTTTAATGACCAAGTGCCAGTCTCTCTCGGAGGAGGAGCATTAAGCGGCAAGCGAAAAGGGGAACGCGCTGGCCAGTGGCACTGGTGGGGCCTAGCAGAGGTATCAGCGAGGGTCGGGGTCACCATTTCCCGCTCTCCTTCGCCTTCTCCCCAAACAACAAAAAAAACACACAGATACGCAACAGAAAAATGTTTGTGCATGTTTTCTGGCTTTCTGCTGAATGAAAGCGTCCCAAAAACTGAAAGGCACTGATAAAGACACAACCACTACACCGGAAAATCTGGGGAACTGGGTGCTGGGTGCTGAGGGTAGGGGGAAATTGGATGAATACTGTCGATTGGGAATGGATATGGGGGCGGTGCCAGGTACCATAAAAGACCCTGGTTTATGCCCATGTCCCTGTCCATGTCCATGTCCGTGGCCGAATCGAACAAATTTCAAAGTGTGTAGTGCACTGAGGATAATTTTATTAAAATAATATTAATATTAAACCTTAAATTAGGCTAAGGCTTAATAAAATAGTAGACCTTAAATGTGGATAAAAGCTTAAGCTATGAAGATAAGTACTCCCAACTCTCTCTTCCAACTTCTCAGTGTTCTATTGCATAGTGGACGAAGATTTGCTTTTCATATCCATTCAATCAAACCCTAAACCGTATACCATCCACTCCCATTTAAACGACTGTGCGGACTGGAGATTTATGATATGAGACCCGCCCAGTGCCTCGCAGCCGGGTTTAAATTTTCAGTTGAAACTGGATTTCCTTTCATCAAATTTCGAATGGATCAAATGGATCCTGAAATCCAGAGAAGTTCGTGCAAATGAAAGCTTTTTTTTTATCTTATCTGCAGTAGGATTTGCATTAGTCAGAAGTGGGGTATTGTGAGTTGGAAGTTGAGTATTCGAAGGAAAACGATTTAATTTACAGAGTGTTGGGTTACTGGTTCACTAATGATTACACATCCAACAACTACGCTATGGAAGTGAGTGTGTGAAAATAGAGTGTTTGCGGGCATTAGAAATTTCTTAGAATTTGTTTGCTTTCTTAAAGAGGTATGTACATGAACATGTTCATACCTACATACCTACATATGTATGCAGGGAGGTTCAGTAACCTATTGAGTATGCGCTGACGCTACATGGAGAGTTGGCCATAAACATCGTCTATTTGGCTAAGCGGAGCCATAAACAATTCAAGATTAATGAACCCACAAAAATGCTTTATAAATGGAAAAAGCGAGTGAATAAGTAGTCCAAAAATTGGATATAAATGGCACGGTCCGACAAATAAAAAACTGAATTGGATACAAAAATACCAGAGAGTTGGGGGCTACAGTTCTGAGAAGTCGACCTGACAACAATCAGGGCTGATATTGTTTTGTATCTGGAGGAATTTTAATTATCATCTTGTTGGCTTTACCGAGCAGATCTTATCTTATTTGGGTCGGATTTGGTCGAATCTCTTTAATCTTGGCTTCCTGTTGTCACTTGTTTGTACGGTTTCATCTCTATACTTTCAGTTTCTTTTTTTTTATTTTTTTTTTGTTGGGGTTTTGTGGGTAGAACTTTCCCCTGCATCAGCACACTTTGAAAAAAACTATATGATTTCTTTTATTACCACATTGATATGATTTATGGGAATTGGATAATAAAAGGGTTGTAAAAGATACAAGTGGAAAACTACTCAAAAGTCTGGTTACTAGTTGCGACAAGGTTGGCGAAAAATAGGTACATTTCAGTTAAAATTTAGCTTTAAATTTACATTTTAGGAATTTCGTATTTTTTTTTGCTTTTATGCGGATTCCCTGGAAGTTTCTTTAATGTTTCCTGTTAATTTTCAGCACACATGTCTATATAGTTGTGATGTTTTTCTATGGAAGACCTTATCGCTGCAGGCATTCCTCTGCCAGACACTCTGTATCTGTATCTTTTGCTAAAGCGGTAGCAGTAACTGTATCTTTTTCTATATCTTTAACCGTAATCGCATATTTGTGCTGATGACTAACTCTACGATAGGAAGCAAGTATCTTTCAGTTGCAAAGTAAGTGGGGTAAGTTGGAGTGATTGGAAGGTGGCGGTTTCACGGGCCATGAGTCGGCAGCCACCAGATAAATGAGCCACCAAATGCTGCTGACGAATGCCTGACTTCCAGTTTCTTGGCCCGATGCAGCCACATATAGTACATAGTTCATCATCGCTTACCTCGAACGCAAGTTAAGCTTTATTATTGCCATAAATTTCACTTGAATTGCGAAATCTGATGCATCTCTTGCTATGCTTTGGCTTTTTAGCTTTTTCTCTTCCACTCGATGTTGTTGTTGTTGTTTTTAGCTGTTTATCTTGGCAACAACAACAGCAACAACACATGCAAAACTCGCTTGAGCCTGTGTGTGCATAAATACTTGTAGATACACACACACACACTCTGTCTGGGTATCTTGCCTTGGTATTTGCTCGTGTTCGCGTACAATAATTTCACGTTCAACAACTTTTGGCTTTTTTGATGAGCCAGCAGAAGCAGCAGCAACGGCAACAGCAGCAGTAGCAGCCCGCACTTGAAAGGTACATTCGCCGAAAAGGGGGGGCGAGTGGGGGCTGACGATTACAAAGGGTTCTGTGGGGCTAAGGCGGGATGAGCGCCGAGTGGGGTAAGTTCTTCTCTTTCTCTTTCCGTTGCCCAAAGCCAGGCAGCTAGCTCTAAAGCTTGCCAGCTCTTTCCAGCAGGAGTTGGCTCTGGGAACTCTGGCCTGGGTTCCATGCAAAAAGATACACTCAACGAAATGCATCCTTAAAAGTATCTCAAAAGGGGTATTTCTAAGTGGGTTGTGGTTAACTAGTTATTATACAGTATATACTAAAAATTCAGACTGATTGGATATTAGGAATTGAAGTTATGATAGGGGGACTGATATAGGATATAAGAAAATGCTTTATTGACTTAAAATATTTTCAAAAATTCGTATCAAAATTGTTCTTTACTCTAATTTGTATTTAATATTAAGTGATAGACATTTAAATATTCCACATTTGGGAGGAAAATTATAGAATAAATAGTTTAAAGTATCTTTATATTAAGAACCAAGCCAGTTTTTATTAAATGTATCTAAGAAGTTGCATTAACAGAACCATTTAAATAAAATAAACAATTTTTTTTCTTTAAGTAAATCGCATATTTATAATAATCTCTCTTATTTTAACCATCAAGTATCGATAAAAACCCATTAATTGACTTGCAAATCGCCCCAAAAAATAGATATATCTATTCTTAAAAAAGACTATATTAATCTCAAGAATAAAACTTCAAATATATACACATATATCATGCTCATTCAATGACGTCAAATTGACATGGAAAATGCCCACAAACATGAAATTACCAACAAGATGGTCGGAATTTGGCGAGAAATTTCATCGTCCATCGTTCTGCGTCATAGTTTATCTTGGGGCCAACGATTTAGTTGGCCATTATTGGCCATATGCAAAATATTAAACGATTTTAATTACATGTTGGAATTCGGGGGGCATCAAATCATTTTGATTTGTTTGCTTCCTTTTAATGCCATGTCATAAAATGAATTATTTCAAGATTATTATTTTAATTTGTATTTAATGCCTGACGTCGGAGAAGTCTCTAGTTCTAGTCCGACTAGCCAGCCCCTCTATACGTAGTCCGTTCCCCTGTTATATCTGGTGAAATATTATCGTGTTGGCACACATTTTATGTCAAATATTTTGTAGTTTATGTATGGTGATTATTTTCTTGGCTCTGGCATGTACAAATGATACATCTGCGAAGAAATCAAAATCGTGTGTCGAGCTAAACACTGGATTGGACTGAACTGCAGACTGGAGACAGAAGCCAGCTAATTTTTTTTCTCGCTGTATCGAATCGGAGTCTTTATTGATACGAAGTGGTATCATATTTCATTTCAGTGTAATCGCTAGCCCGGCCAAGCCGTCGTTTCGTCTCGTTTCATGACGGTTTTGTTATGCTTTTGGTCGCTTTTGCCTCGCTCTGACCTCTGAATTGCCATCGAAGCCTTTTTTTTAAATTTCGTATTTTTCTTTTTTGCCGGCATACCCTTTCAAGGTGGAGTCTGTAAAGTTTTTTGGGGCACTTGCACGTGATGCCGTGGAGTGGGGGGCGGGGCCATGGTATTGCCAATCAGTTGCTGAACTTTCATTTGCATTTCGCTGAGCTGTTGATGGAAATCGCTTTGAACTCTAAATGGCTCGCCAGCGGGTTGTTATGAGTTCTTTTTGAGGGCGTACTATACGGTATTTAAGCGATCTGCCAGATGCGGGACTATTGAGTGAAAGGGCGGATGTTTCGAAAAGTCAGTAGGGGAATATTGAAAGGGCCAATTCTCTGAGGGGGACACTTTCTATAAAATAGGCTGATTAAGGTGGTTTCGGAAATGAAAACTGGGGGAGGTCATTTAAAACCTTATAAGTTGTGAAAGTACTTTATTTTCAATTATGTTTTTCCGATGAAACTTTTTTTAATAATTTTTAAAGTTTGTTTATAGGGTTTTTTAGGCTTTTTTCTATAAATTTATAATATATTCTTTCCTATGAATTAAAACCCCAATAACTGTGATAAGTTCTCTGTTAAATATCTTGAAATATTTTCGAGGGGGCGGATATTCAAATTTAATAACGTCTATGGGGAAATATGAAATGCAAGGCTATTATATTTTAATAGGCTTTCAAAAAGCGCATAGTAACAGTTGCTAAATAGTAACTGCCTATTGTTTCACTTTCAAAGGTTAAAATATTATTAAGATTTTCTATCTTTTTTATTAAATATGTATGTTATTTCCTAATAGGGTAACTGAGTATTTTACGGTTTCAACCTCTGTGGTTACAGATTCGTAGATCTCGCTATAGGTATTTAAAATACTATAAGCTATACGCTATATAGCTAAAATTTTATTCAAAAACCCAAAATAAAAACCTAACATCTTCGAAAAGTTACCCCAAAATACCTTTAAAATGGCATATTATTTTTGTAAATATTTTAGGCCATTTTTACAGCCCGAGGGCATTTGGACTTCGACTCCGGCACGTAAGCTCTCCCCCAGTCGGGGCTTTATTTGCTTGCTCTGGTTTTCTTATTTTTCGGCATTGGTCTTGGGCCGCTTTAGAGCTGGAGGGCCCCTCTTCTGGGTTTCTTAGTTTATAGTTCGCACTGTGGTGCCAGGCTTAAGTAACTCTTTAATGGGGTGTGCGTGTCTGGCCGGCAGGGGGTTAGGGCAGGGGGTGTACCCCCCTCACACTGAGAGACGGCTAATGAAATCGAATTGTTCGATCATTGCGATAAATTCACTTCCACCTCTGCCTAATTTCTGTCCATTTACGCATGCCACCGCTCCGCTCCGAGCCGCGCCGCGGCGCTTTGCGCTTTTAACCTTGATTTCTTAGTGTAAACAAAAAAATACGAAACCAAATAAAAAACGCGACACAGGCCAAGTGACAGAGCGCGCCGGCAGTGGGAGTGAGATACAAGATACAAGATACTGAGATACAAAGATACACCGAGCATAGTAGTACGAAAAGCTTTCAGCATTTTGACGATCTGTCAGTCGCGCTGACTATTTGTCTCTCAGTTTTTGCTGTTTTCTGTTTCTGTTTTTTTTTTTGCGCTATTCTGCTTGCTTTTTATTAAGTTACCTATTTATAATTTGTTTATTATTTAGCAAATGCCTGTGAATAATGTTTAAATATAACGCAGCAGCATCTGGAAACCTTGTTGAATGAAAATCAAATTGAAATAGCTTAGAAAATTAGATGAAATGAAAAAAAAAAATAAAAAAAAAACATAAACCTCCTCGCACACACGAAATCCATAAATATTTTATAAATGACGTTATTGTACAGTTTTCCTCTTGTTATATTATTAGCTATGCTATCTTATCTATGTACGCGACTCAACGTGTGACTGTTAGTGGGTGTGTATGTGTGTGTGTGTGAGAGAGTGTGTGTACTGTCGGTGTTTGTTTGTATAGCCATATTGGGTGTTTGTATGGGCCAACAAAGCTACCGTCATTACCCTTCTACTTTTATGCTAGGCTTATATAATCGGCAAAAAATAAATAAAAATAAAAAGAAAACAAACTAAGGCAAAAAATAAAAAAAATAGAGGTAGCAGATATGTAGGTTGGCTTACCTGCAGCACTTGAAAAATGATTTAGTCGCTGGGTCGGTTCCCTTGTCCCATATAATATATAGATTGTGTACAATCTGTGGAATGCGCTTCTACACACCTGCCACGTAAATTTCTTATTGCTCTTCTTGCTGGAGCATAAACTATTTGTTGTTTTTGTTATTTTTGTTATTGTTGCTGCTGTGCCCCAACAAGTTCACATGCTTTTTCACTTTATCTCTTTTCTCTTGCCACACGTTACTATTATTTTTACTTTTTTTTATTTTTTTCGTTGAAATTTTTGTGGTTTTCTTCAACTTGGCTTGTTTTTTTATTTTTTTGCCAACGTTATTAGCCGTTTGTTTTGTGTTTATTTTTCTGGCTAAAACATAGTTTTGTATTTAACTTCACTGAACGAAAATTAATCGTTCTTCATAAATCTTGTCTACCAGCTTTTCGTAAAGCTTGCGCGTTCGGTGCTGAATTTCGACTGAATTTTCAAGCTTGCCTCCGACACATTTAAAGCTCCCCGCCGATCGTTTTTAAGAGAAAGCCTGGGAGAGAGCAGCGCAGGAGAGTGGAGCTCAGAGAGGGCGAGCGGTGAGAGCCACCGCAGAGAATGTGGCTGCAATAAAGCTCGCTCTTTTGGCCCGCATTCCATGCGACTGTGCATTAAATGTTGTTATGTCTGGTACTTGTAGTATTAAAGGGTATATTTTATATTACAGTTATTATAGTAGCCGCCATTATAAAAAGCCCTCTACTTCCGGCGCCTCTAAATAGGCAATAGAAAATATTTCAACCTTTATAAAGACTTCAAAGATCTTTAATAATGGGTATAAACCTAGTCGAGACACTTAGTTAGACTTAATTTTTTTTCTTGTTTGTTTTTGTTTTTGTTTTTTGTAGTAAAATTTTTACCGGCTAACCGGCATCTGTGATCACCCTCTCTGCCTGCTCTCAGAGCTTTTACTCGCAAAAGCTCGCTTATGAAAGAGCATAGATCAACGTCAGAAACAACAGGTCGTAAATTTTCGTCGAGATCAAGTGAGCATATGGAATTTCGTTGAGTGCATCACGCTCACACGCACGCGTCACGTGCGCCAGTTCTCGTATTCGCGAAAAAAGTGCAACAACGATCGATCACACGCATATTAATTATTGGGGGAGTGGATTTCGGAGAGGAGGAGGCTGGCGAGCGGGGGGGTGTAGCCCCAAAGAAACTGGCGAAAACAGTAAAGATCGTTGCCACCATTCCGCATTTCCAGGCCAAGGCGTGTGCGCCATGCAAAGCACAATATGCAAAAGCAAAATGCTAAATGTGAAGTGTAAAATGCGGCGAATGGATATGGAATATGGTATATCATGACAACACCCTCTCACGCCCAGCCCATCATCCACCACTCATGGTGTTCTGGGGATTAATGTAAAATGCAAAAAATGCACATCAATTTATTATACATTTGGGACACTCGGAAAAAAATTATACAAAATTATTATTACAAATTTCATATTTCTGAAAAATTGCATTGTAAAATATTACATTTTACATATTTTTAGGGGGCTATAGTAATAAAGTACTTAGTTATTCTCTTCATATTTGATTTCCTTTCTATTTTATTGTCAGTTTCGGGAAATTTTATACAATATCATCTTTCATTTTTATCAATTTAAGAAATTTTGAGAAGGCATCATGAAACATAATTGTCTAATATATGGTATAGTAAATACTAGACTATTACTGTTACCTATTATTCCATAGAATATCAGTTTCAACCTATGTATACTCTCTTGTAGTTATTGGGAAAACTTCATACAATTTTATTTTGAATTTATATGTACATACTTTCGTACCATACTTCAATATTTATCATTTTCATATCTAAGCTAAAGTATAAGCTATCAAAGCTTTTGTAGAATTTTCACAAAAAGTAAATTATTATTTTTAATATATAAATATTTTCCAACCTGCATAATTACAGAATTCCACATGAGTTTATTCGGCAGCCTGGAATAATCCGCTTGCAAGTACCTGCAGATTTCTCAGGTGACTAATTGCGCGGTGAACGGTGTTCGGTGGCGAATGAGTAATTTTTGATTGTAGGTTGGTCGGTTTCTTCGGCAAGTGTTCGGGAATAAAGTGAAACAATGTCAAGGGAAGGCTGATCGTCGGAATTATTGGATTTGCATATTAACAGATCAGGCATAAATATTGATACGATCTCGATGGGGAGTCATTTATATTGAATGGGAAAAAAAGTCTTGTAGTATGCGGAAATCTTGACAGATTCTTGAATACAATTGCAGCTTACGTCATTTATTTTTCAATAAAGGTACTTTTGGTTTATATTGGTTTTTAGCACAATTTATAAATAGAATTTACGCGAGTTTTTTAAGAAGATTATTCCTTTAATTTCTTCCCATTTTATTCAGAAAATAATCATCATATTTTATGCAAATTGTCGGCAATCAGTTTGTTGCTTTTTAAATCTGGAATATTTGCACTTTTATTGCATGAATCGATATTCGTTTGAATAACAATTTTCCCTCGCAATTTTATTTTGATTTTAAATTGCTGCCCGACAGTCAAGGTATGTGGCTTCCCATTGGGATTTATTTTTTTCCCCCCATTTTCATGTCATTTTGGGGGGACATTAACCGAGTCCTTGAAGGAATCCGATACTTTTCCTTTATCCCAACGCCATTAAGAGCGGTCTGACAATGCAGCGAGAGTATATTTTACTTAAGATTGTCGCTTCCCTGCTGTTTTCCGCTGGTTGGTTGGTTGGTTGGCTGTTTTCATGGTCAGTTAGCCCGAGAATTGTTGTCGCATAAACTGCCAGCATACAGCAGATAACAGCGGAAAGGCAGACAAAATCCGTATAATGAAATAAAAATACATAGCTAAATAAAAGTGGACGGACAAAATCAAAATGAACAGCAGCATCAGCAGCAACAAACACAAGGCCAACAACATTGATTTCACTTTAACGAGCTTGTAATGTCTTTGAGCGGCTCAAAGGCGAAAGTATATAAAAAGCGTTATGTATACGACATGTGGGCCACCATCATGGCTGTGTTGGTGTGTTGATGTTTGTGTGTATTTAGTGCGCTAGTGTGAGGATGAAAACTTTGTGCCGAGTTCTGTCACATCCTAATAGGATAATAACGAGCCAAGGCTGAGCGAAAGTTGTTGCGCCTTGCAACCAAAACTCCCAGAAATAAAATATGTAGCAACAATAAACGATGATAAGGGGCCAAGAAACGTGTCTCAGTCTCAGTTTCGGGCTCAGACTTCAGTCTTCACCCCCATTCTCGTTTGGGACATGTCCTCTTTTCTGGACTTGGCTTGAATTTTGGTTTCTGGCATAGTCATGGCACTTGAAGAAAACTTACTATATTCCCACTTACAACTAAGTGGGTGCCCCTGAAAGGTCAAAGATTTTTTAGCAGTGTCTAGTCCAAGTTAACTCGGATCCGCTGTCTTGGCTAAATCGGCCCGCAGGAAGCGCTGATAAGAACCAACGACTTGCGGTAGTGTGCGGCACATAATGTCAGACATCCCCCTAGAAAACAACGCCTGGCTTCCCCTTCTAAAAAAATAAATATATCCTCCTCGGGGCAAGGACTTTTGGGTCCTGGGGGCATTACAGTGGGGGGCTGCTTTTGGATTTGTTGTAGCTGCCAAATGATAATTTATGGGCGGAACTCTATGAAACTTCGAGGCGTCAAGAAATCTGTTAGCCAAAGTAGCACTTTTTCTTGACAGGAGGCAGGAGGCTGGTGGCAGGAACAAATGTTCAAGTCATGGATTTAAGTGGGCCAAGATGAATTTGACTACGTTAAGGTGAGCCCGAAATTAAAAGCAGCAAATCAACATGTTCTACTTAACTTGGTCAAGTGAAAGTGGGTGGAAATGGCTGGAAATGGCCGAAAGGGCGAAAAGCAGAAAGAGGAAGGGCACACACAACGAAAAGCAAAGGATGTGCGCTGAAACGGAAAGGCGGCGGGCAAGGAATTGAAGTTGAATGAGTTATAAAGCCAAAAAGGGGAAAGTTGAACAAAATGCTTTGGGAGGTGGAAAAAGACAAGAAATTTGTAAGATTTACAAGAAAATGTACAATGTATTACATTTAAAGAAAAAGTCCCTATTTAAACTCGAATAACCTTTTCCAAAAATTACTGATGCCCATACCCACTTCCATTTAATTAAATATTTGATAAGAAAATTCATTACATTATCAATTCATCAAATTCGTTGGCATTGCTATGAAATGAATTATTAAGAGATCCATTATTATCAATTATTTCTTAGAGCTCTTATTTCCCATATGGGCAGACACCAAGGTCGCATTTGCGCCACCCATCCACCCATCCGCCCACCGCCGTCCGCTGGCATTTTGGCCAAGAAAGTCTCCGTGGAAAAGCAAGACACTTGACAGTGACAGTGTGGCATGAAGTAGGTGGAAAGCAGCAGAAGCAGCACAAGCAGAAGCCGGAAAAACCGCTGGGGAAAATTTCAACATCATTTTGTGTGTGCATTTGAGCGATTACCCAAGTGATTACGGCTTGATGCACAAAGAAAGCACCTGACACCTACTAGACAAACAATTCATAATTTCAAGTCGTTGCCGTCTTCATGGTTGTCCTTTTTTTGTATCCTTTCTGGCCAGGGCCCTTGACGGTCAGGCCATCATTTAGAGCTAACGAGTTATTTCTGCGGTTCAGCACCGCCATTCCGCCGTCTCGCTCTAAAAGCATTTCGCTGTCTCTTTCGCCACTTGGCTTAGGACTCGGACTCTTCATCAACGCTGGCAGAACGTCGCTCATTTATTTTGATTACCTTTACGCAGAAAGCCAAACCAATGCCAGCACCAGATTTTCCCTCATCTACTCTAGCATGTTCATTTCCATTTTCACTTCCTTGCCTGTTTTTGTTTTTCCCTTTATTTTTTACTTTTTATTTCTGAAACTTTCAGGATCTGGGCAATCTTTCAGAGTATCTTCATCCCAGTCTTTCGCCAGAGTGCTTATCTAAGAACATTAGACAGACATCAGAGGGCCGGGGGAGAAGTGACAAGTAGGGCCCTGGGAATAGAGCCATTTTTGTATTTACAGTGGTTTTTCCAAAAATATATAAAGAGATTTAACTCGGTATCTATTTGAGGTAGACTAATTGGAGTTTATGAGCTTGTGTTTTTCCAAAGCAGATTATAGTTTAAAAGTTCATTAAAGTTCTACTTTGTAGAGATTTTAAAAAGGTTAAGCTAAAAACGTACTACTAGTCGTATGCGTGATATTTAAGGGGTCTACTTAATAGATTCTTAATAGAAATACTAGACTATACAGTTTTCCTTACTTTTCATTAAAATCGGGTGTTCTTTAACGTTTTTTTAAGCTTTTTAAGTTATCAGGCCTACAAGTCGTATATTTAATGTGAAAAACTCGCAGTTCAACAATTCGTATAAGTAATTTTTTGTTGGTTTTATGTTTTA